CTCACAGGAACATCTTGTTTTCGCTTTCCTGGACTTTCTGATTCAGACGAATTCATATGGAGTAATTACATTGAGTTGTGATTAAAGAAAATGAACAAAATAGTACCATCACAAGCCTCGCTTTTATATGACTCGATAAAACGTTTTGTGCGGAATCCAGCACTACTTTCATTCGATTCTTTGTCTCGCATCCATAATTTGTGAAAGTCTTCGAATTTGCGACTACATTTGGCTGACACTTGAGGTTCTTCCTTCTCTATAGATGTCACATGGGTTCGTATAGCCCAGTGGTCCGAAGCGCCCTGCAATACACACGAGATTCATTCCCGCACTCCTAGCCCACCAAGCCTTCCTTTCCTCGCGGTCAACTACTTGGTACCAGACTTCTCTTAGTGGATAGCAGCACTAGCTTGATACATCGGTATGCCACCATGAGTCATAGTAAAGGCCATATATGCATTTAATCACCCCCAAACGATGCTTTACGAAGTCGAATGCATGGCGCATCCCTAAGGGATCTACCAACTCCGAGAGCTCTATCCTTCTTTATGGATGTCACTGCATGCTGATCGAGTTAATGCCGCCAGTAAACGAGCGATTACCCTATACAGCATACCCATGTTTTTATCGTAGGCAGTCACCGGGTTTTGTGGATCAGAAGGTGTTTCCAATATACCGCACTGGACGAATTTTCACAATTCTCGTCGAATGAGGGACTTGGTAGGCTCGGCATGTGGTCGAAACAGTGAGCGTGAGTGTTTTGCAAAACATCTCGAGTAACCGTCCTTTCTGCATCCCTGCTTGGATGGTACTATTCTCATCACTTGTAATTTGCCACACTTCGTATCCCTCGCTACCAAAATCAGTGGCATGTGATCAGAAAGTAGTCAGTCAAATACAGGTTCGAAAAGGTCGAAATTCCATTAACTGTGCGCTGCCTCTCTGTCTCTCTTACTGTATATATACATATATATGTATATACATTTACATACATATTGGATAGAAGGAAGCGAATTGAAATGTGTACTCCTCTATCATCACCCTCATCTACCTTCCAGTATGAAATTATCATGAAGCAATTGTTTTGTGTTGGCCAACATTTGGGCTCCAGCGGAGTTCCTTAGAATATGGAAGCCCACATCGTTTCCGATCTAACATTTCGCCAATAAAATTGTTGCTAGCACGTTGGTTTTTTCCGTATGAGGTAAAGCTAATCTAGCAAGCAAGCTAGCTTCAAATATCTTCGGTTATTAATTGTAACTACAAATTTCAAATCTATCATCTCATACAATGTAAAGTTGATAAAACGACAAGATATTATCACAGGCAGTCATAGCAACCACAGTAGCCCTGTATAAAAGAGCATCGCCAGATGAAATTACCTCATTTGAGCGGTATTCCACTGAAGAAGATCCCACTCGATAGGACGATATGGACACCTCATCGAGAGTACAACGAACTGAGGACATCGATTTGGATCATCGGCTCTGAGCAAGACGAAGACCTCGAGACGTTAGCCGAATAAAATTTATTTTATCAGCCACGTTTTTGCTCATCAATGAAAGGATGTACGTTAAAGTGAGTAATATTCACCGTTTTCACGTTCTTAAATTAAAGTGGGTCGTGCTATCGTGTGAAATGAGTGAGTATGACATTGAAGTGGTGCCATTCAGAATCATTTCAGTAGTTGGTTTGAATGATGTCAAGGTTCTGTTCACTTTTTTACTATTGTTGCCGCTTCTTCTGTATGACGCTATCATACTAACGACATCCACCATTATCAGTCATTCATCAGATGTACACAGTCTTCATTAATGATCATGTAGCTATAGCTGAGGCAAGGATTTTGCAGCGGTAGCGATGACGTTCAGTACGCTCAACACCTTGGTTCAACCCTGCACCGGCCACCAAGCCCTCTGTCCATGTTCTGAGAATTATCACGGGACTCGTTTGGGACCAGCTCTGTTCAATCAATGAAAGTAACGAGTGCATGTCATTAAAACCTGGGAACGTCCTAGCATGCCTGTTTCGGAATCTCGGAGCGAATCGACTTTATCACCAATCAATTGCATTTAATAAAGACGACCATGTATCCTCAGCTAGCAGCGGAACCTAATACCAAAAATTCAGAGGCATTCGTTCACGATCGAAGCGCAGAAATGAATCGAAGAAATGAGGTACGGCTTGGTTCCACACACTATGTGATGTTGCATAGTGGTCAAAAGGCGAAGAAAAAGGTTAGATGAGGTAGTAAACCTCATCAGGGCGCTGTGCTCAGCTCAAAACAAGGTGACTTTGCTGGAAAACGAAAAAATGCGAATCCGTGGTATAAGAGGAGTTAAAAATGTGTGTTAATGCATACTGATTCTAGAATGGAGTGTTTATGTTTTTTGGATTGATTAGGATTACTCTTTTAAGATGGAAATTTTGTCAGTTGATCATTGAAAGCACTTGGTGTTTGACCTTTCAACAATTTGAAATAAAGATACAGCTGCGTGAAGTCGCCTGCATTCTGATGCCGCAAACATCCCATGAAATTGAAAACAGGTCTAGCAGACCAAGTCGGTTGAGCAACTGTTATTTACTTAGCCGCTCGAAATTCTCATGTTTTGCCGAGCTTGTGGCTGGCTCAGTTGTGTTGGATAAACGAACTGTCATTCGGTAACCTAGCAGTGTAAAAGCGCTTATGCCGTGTTTTCACGCAGTAAAAAAGAATCAACGAATTTAGAATGACAATAGAAAGAAAAATCAAGTACGACAAACGTTTTGCTATTATTTGTTGAATAGACCATAAAAGTCAGAAAAAATTGCTAGTGTAGGTATGAAAACAACACCGGACAATCCAAACGTCGAGATTGTGGCTTCGAACGCTTGGTGGAAGTTACATCAGACCTACGACCTAGGATAAGAAAGGATAAAGCTCTCGATGTTGATCAATCCTTGAGGGATGCGCAATGCATTCGACTTCACTAAGCATCGTTGGAGGTGATTGAATGCATATCTGGCCTTTACAATGACTCGCGGTGGCCTGTTGATATATCGAGCCTGGTGCTGCTCTCCTTCTAGACAAATGTAGTACCAATTTGTTTGGTACCTTGCAGACAAGTCTGGTACCTACCTCGAAGGGATGGAGGGCTTGGTATAGAGTATAGGGTGCAGGTATCGGTCCCATGTGTCTTGCAAAGGCGCCTCCCATCACTGCGCTACAAGCGCCCGTCCCCGATTCAGAAGTATTGAAAGTGTAAGGGAAGACGTACCTAGTCTATTCGAAGAGAACGACTGTTGTGTGCCAACCAAGAATACGTCGACGAATATTACTGGAACTTCACATAATGTGAAACCAACCACTTCTTTCAATCGGCTTTCATTTCCCATCCGTTACTATTGAAGGCTTTTAGCGACTTACGTATGGGTTCGAATGCTTTTTTTTACATCTACCCTTGAAGAGTTTCATTTTCAACAGGGTGTCACTGAATGGTGATCTGGTTGATTTTACTAGGGAAACTGGAATAGTTATACTATACCGCTTTTAGTTCTTCATTAAATGCAGTTGCGAATGTTTGCAGATCGGATCAATATCTTCGCAGAGAGGTTTGGTGAGAGCAATTGACACGTGAAAAATCTTAAAGTGATCAACTCTCTGGAAGCCACAATTAAAAGACAAAGTTTAGCATACAAGCATGAATACATCAACTATTGGTGTGTGATATGTTTTGGTGATGCCCGCATCTAGTACCTTCTGCTGAAAATGCCAAGAATAGCTTCATTTTAAAGTAATTACTTCAAGTATGTTCTCTCAATGTTTCAACGAGCAAAGTTATTTGAGGCATTCCGTACACGTCGTGTAGTCATAGTTTTTCATTGTTGGCAAAGAAGAAACAGTCACTATGAATCTGTTATGTAACTTGCAAAAATTCGATGGTGTTGGACACAGTACATACCTTCACTGACCAGGCTGATTGCATAGGAACAGAGAAACAGCTCAGTCCGAGCACCAACAATGGCTCGAGAATGCGACTGACGGCTGATAAAAGGTGCGGAAAACAAACTGCGCTTCGCTTTACATATATAATTTTTTTAAATAAGGAAAAGTGTAGTGCAGTGGTCACGGGTGACGTACAATATAATTGGTTCGATCCCTGGCTCCCCAAGCCTTCCGTCCCTCCGTGGTTTGAAAATTGTTACCAAACTTGCCTGGTAGGATAGCGGCACTGGCTGGATACACCGATAAGCCACTGCAAGTTATTTTGAAGGCCAGATGTACATTCAATCACCTCTAAACGATGATTAATGAAGTCGACCGCACGGCGCATCTCTCAGGTCACACCGAGAGCTTTTAGAGCTTTATATACTTAAACAAATTTGTTGCTACAACACATATATATATATATACTCATTGTGAACGAAATTTCTTATTTATTACCTTGACAAACGCACGCTACGAGTTCCAAGACTGCGATCAACAGCTGCGGAAACCTTATCGTTTGCTTTTTATCGCGACCGGAATGAAGAACATAAATTGGCAACATGGGCCTCGGAGGATGTTTGTCGGTGCCACTACATATTCACTGATGTCTCTGACAGCAGAAACTATTTCGTCCTTTTTTCTAGTCCTTCCTTCAGTCAACGATAATCGTATTTCTGCAATCACTGTTCCTCAACTTACTGTTCTTGTACCCACTTCTGTCATTCCACTGCATTGAAGTGAATTTCCTATATTCCGTTATCTTCTTCCAATTTGTTACTGATAAGTGTCACTGAATTTGCACTAAATACTTTTCCAGTTTTTCCAGAAACTAGTTTGCCAGTATTTTACCATCATCGTAACTCTTTGATATTTAATAACCGTGCCCAGTACAAAAAGCACTTTTAAAATTTCTTTATCACGTTTCTTTAATAACTGCTGCAGATATTCGTTCTATTCATAATTTAGATTTTCGATTTTAAAAAGTCCTAGTGCTCTCACTGGTTCAACTCGAACGAGTGCTTTAGTTTAGATCATGTTGAAGCTTGTTGTATCCTGTCTTCTTGTGCATACGGTGCTCTCTCTGGGAATTGGTCGTACACAATCGTCTGGCGTGAAAGGGAGATTGATCTGCGACGGAAAACCGGCTGTCGGTGTAACCGTGAAACTCTATGATGACGATAGAGGTCGTTGATTGTTACGAAAAACTAGGCAAAGTCATATAACATATTGTTTCGACAGCAAATCTTCTATAACCTCCAATGAATTTATTAATGATAATGAAACGCTTCTGTGAGGACAATAGACGCCTTCTCAAATAGCTCCTAACAAATGAAGAAATTGAACTATACCAGAATGACGATAATTTTTGGCACCGAACTAGTGATATCCTGAAAAGGAACATTCCCGTCGCAGACACCTAGAATGGAGTTGAATTTCTTCCCTTGGACTATAAACACAGTTTCACATGTTAGTTTTGCTTATAGCCGAACTTTTCATTAGTGATTTGTGACCAGCGAAAGAAATTGTAGACTTTTTAACAGGCTTGAGCAGATTTCGATGGCTAAGGTATGCAGATTCAGATCGATCTAAAGAATCAAATAATGAAAGTGCAAAAACTGAAAAAATACGAATTACAACAACATTCGTAACTCTTCATTCCTTTCCTACAGGTATGAACTTATCCAGTAAGGCATATAAAGAGAGTCCTTCGACAAATCGTTGTTTAACGATAGTTCTTTAACATCTGCGTGATAACGTAATCTCTGCAGCAGTCGTACCAGATGAAAATAATGGCCGCTCTCACCTTCGACAGATCAACATATCTTATTTAGCTCATAGTCAGTTCCAAAATGGCAAAACAAGAGTTATAACCTACAAGTCTCTTATCGAGTCTAGAAATCTTTATCTACAGAAGAAAAGTACCTTTGTTCTACCACTATGAAATCTTGATTTCCTGAATTCCATGACATGTATTTCCCCTTTCTTTGATCTAAGGCCCATATTTGGATGATGAAAGGAAAGCAGCAAGCGGGATTTCGTCCAGCACGATGTCATGGTGTTCCCCAATGTATTGTTGTCGTTTATAGATTCTGCTGCCTTGTCAATGAAAATTTCAGATTTCAGGTTTCGTAATCAGTTTTTAGAAATTTTAATCTCAAGATGTTTGAATTTACGGAACAAACGTGTAAAAAACTGCTTAAAAGTTGTGCCATCAGTGTGATAGGAGGAAGAATCCCAAGAATCCCAATCAGTAAACCAATAAATTTTGGAACTCCTGAAGTCCTAAACGAGAGAAGTTATGGTCACTTGTCGAAAAACAGCTTCCTCGCCAAAGCTTTACAGGCAGCCGATTTTCCTAATGGTAATTGACCTCTCCAATAAAGTAGAATGTGTAGATAATTAAGATATGCCTAGAATAGCTAAAAGTTTACCCATAGTTAGCTTTCGTCATCGAAGACAGTTCGTTATTCGTACGAGAGTTTCGAAGGATTCAGAAAAAGAGCTGGGATTTCCAGTTCCACACTCCTGAAATATTTTGCAACTGGGTTTTTAGAGCACACGCCTCCCACTTGACTACCTAATAACCTGTTCAATGCTTAAGGTGTCGATGCTGACGACTTGATGGCATCCGGCAAGACCAACTCGAATGGCGAGTTTGAATTAAGAGGCTACACCGAGGAATTTACATCGATCGATCCGAAACTCAACATCTACCACGACTGTGATGACCTCAAGGTATAGCATAACTCACCAGAAAGTTTTAAACTGGAAATTTTGATAAAAACAACGAAATTTACAAGTTACTTTTAGTCTCATGGAGGGTGTAGTCTCGAAAAAAACTATGTGTTTCCAACAAGATTCATCTGAGTCGCCTATATTATTGCAGTCGTCTTAATTATCGGCAATAATCGATATGCGCCAGGAATCCCTTCTTTTATCACCATTTTTCTACTTTTTCGGGAAGACCGAAAATGTACTTTGTCATTCAAGACGAAAAATTTGGAGACTCTAACAATCGGCTTGTCTTCATGTTGGCATGACACTGTTTGTAATGCAGTCATAAGCGGCTTCTGTCAAACTGTCGTCAATAAAACGTAAGACGTTCTTGTGACTTTCGAAATCTCGACGTACGCGTTGGAGATCTCCCATATCGGCAACATTCGTTTCTCATAGGCATCGGCTTTTCAGTGTTGCAGTAATGATCTTTAATGCATTTGGGCAATTCTCACTTAGTTCACATAATACACCTTGTTATAGGAAAGTTATCGTCAACATTGTGAAAACGGTATATCCCGCCCACTAGCGAATTTTGCTCCCATTCCTTAGCGTTGCAGTTTCTTACCGATCTTTTCCACTATCGCATTAAATGGTTTCGCCGAGAAGGGTTTACCTAATCGGCTCCATCTAATTACGCCGAGAATGGTCTTTTCGTAAAATAATCGCTCGGCTATGAAGGAAATGTGTGGCTCATGAAGGACCCTTATGCATTGAATAGAAATGTCCAGTGTACAAAAATCGCGTTCGTAGGAACACAAGTGAAAGGATTCCTCATGTTTGCAGTAAAATATTCTGTATCTTTTAAATGTCCTCCAGTCCACTCATCTACTTCTGCTAATCTCTTAAGCTAGGTTGCTCTTCATGTTGAACTTCCAAACTTTTACATTATATAGTGGCCGATTTCGTAGGGCAAATTTTTAATGCATTAGTTTAATCCACGGACCTCCTTCACTGCAGCATTGCCAGCAAGGCTTTACCCTGGGTGATTATGTCTGTCACATACGGAAAGGTCGTTATAACCATCTTTGATGCAGATTTGACCTTGGGAAAAGTTTTGTAGATTTCGTCTTGATCAGATATCTGAGCCCAAAGAATGGGTCTATTGGATGCACAAAAAGCGCAGAGCAGACTTCATGACGTCAGCAGTTCTACTCTTCGTTCAAACCCTGTGGCACCCAAGCATTCAGTTTCTTCAGCTTTTCAATGGCTTTTAAATAATAAACGATTATTGTCTGCTTAATACGTTTTTTAAACCTCTCGAATAGCTTTCGTTGGACTTGCTTTGACTACCACCTTAAGATGGTCGCCTTGGTCTGCTGAGTGAAAGACGCAAACGACGTGTCGTGTTCTGTCACGAAGATTCACCTCTCGCACGAAAGTTCTGCACACTATACTATCGGAACGCTTTTCCTAACTAACCTAACCTAATCATTAACTTCGTTTCGGGTTGCTACCGTCGTTTTTATAGGGCGCGTGTTGCGCAGTGGTCAGAGGCGTCCTGCAATAAACATGGGATCAGTTCCCGCCCCTCTGGTTCACCAAGTCCTCTATCCCTCCGGATTCGGCAAATTGGTACCAGACTTGTCTGGAAGGATAGCAGCACTGGCTCGATACATCGATAGGCCACCGCGAGACATTGTAAAAGACAGATATGAATTCAGTCACCTCCAACGATGCTTAATGAACACGAATGCATGACGCATCCCTCAGGGACTGATGAACGCAGAGAGCTTCATCCTTTCCTCTTTTTATCGTCGTTCTATGTCCATGTGTGAACTCATGCAGCGAACCAATGCGATTTTCATGCAATGAGAGCATACTTTCAAACAGCCTAAACTCACTATAAATTTAATGTTAAAAAAGTATTACACGGTAAATAGTGTGACAAGAAATCTGTTTAGAATAATGCGCATCCAAAACACAGGTTACAATTATTCAAACAAAATGTTCTTAGCAAATTTGCAACGACAAAGCGGTCATTATTTACTTATTATCTATTTATTTATACGACCAGTCTTCACGTCTACTGGCGGATCCCAGCACTTCTCACATTCGATTCGCTTCCTCGAATCCTTCATCCACGAAGATCTTCCAACTTTTTATATGTGGCTTAGGCTGCTGCTTGAGGATTTTCATTTCATCTTGAATGTCGTAGAATTCTGATTGAGCAATTCTTCCTTCAGTTCTGAGACAGCAGGGTTGGAGCGTTCCCAATTGGACTGAAGAGAGCGATTTCTTTCCCGGAGAAGTCCGGTACCAATTTACCGACCCCGGAGGAATGAGAGGACTCATTTGAGCCTGGAGCGGGATTGATCAACACTGAGAACTTCATCATTTGTTCATTATTATAAATGATCTCGACCATTATCCTGAACTCAGGATTCCTCTTCACCCTTTTTCCTTTATTCCACTTCGTGAATCTTGATGTGAATTCAAACGTCTTTGATCGTTTTCCTTGACAAAGTTACCGTGTTGAATTAGTTGCCACTTCGTTTGCTTAAAAAAATAATAGAACACAAGTTTGCTCTTAGAGTGAAGGCGTATGTAAGTGCGTAATGGAGTGTGTCGATGAGTGATTCTAAGAAGACTTCTGAGGCTTTGTTTACACGAACGTTTTTTTTGTCAAATAATGCCGTGGTAGTAGCAGCCCACTTCGTGCCATGAGGATACAACATAAAACAAACTGAAAACTACCGGGAACATAAACGTGCCAAATCGATTGCGACTAAATGATGCGACAAGTTATTCAATGTTTGGAAAAGCTGTGATGGAAAGTAGAGGAAGATTCTTAACAATTTTTCAGCCCTGTCAACGAAAATTCACCATTAAACTGCCGGACAAGTACATAACTAACGGGAAGGTGAGCGCCGTTTCAGCTAATTCAGTTACTTTTTATTTTTTGTTTTTTTTTTAATTCCGAGAGTTCTAAATAATCTCTGGAGTTGCTCAAGAGGAAAGAAAGCTCGTGTTCAGTGGGATGTTTGAAACACTGTCATCGTTTTTGTGAACAATATCTCAATAACTCGTATATAATGCTGAGATATTTGCAAAACTCTGGACCGCAGGTGCATGCGGTGGGGAACGAACGGACGCTATTGTCCTTACCGGGGAGTAGCGCACTTCACCACCACACCATCCAGGTCCTTCGTTTTGCCTGTCTCTCAGCTAGTTCTATCGATCTTTTGCCATCAGCAATGCCAACGGGATTGATCTGGGGAGCCCAAATCGGCATTGAACCCAGTAAAGCTGAGGCTTAGTTATAATCACTAGCTCACTATATAAGAACTAGCTGAGAGAGAGGCAAAGCGAAGGAGCCGGATGGTGTGGTGGTGAAGTGCACTACTCCCTGGCAAGGACAATAGCGCGCGTTCGTTCCCCACCGCATACACCTGCGGTCCGGAATATTGCAAATATCTCAGCATTATATACGAGTTATATTTCGCAACATACCCTGCCATTGAAAAGAAAAAAGCAGTAAATAAAAGGGCTAATATCTCAATATTTTACTTTTTTATTTGACCCGTCTTCACGTCTACTGTGCAGATCCCACCACTTCTCACATTCACTTCGTTTCCTCACATCCATTGTCTACGAAAATTTCCCAACTATACGTGTGGCTTCGGTTGCTACTTGACGATTTCCATTCCATCTTGAATGATGTAGAATGATGGTTGAGCACTTCTTCCTGGAGTCCTAAGATAGCCCGGCTGGAAAGTTCCCAATTGCACTGCAGAATTTTTTCCCCATGTTTCCCAGAGAAGTGCGGCACCAATTTCTCGACCCCGGAGGGATGAGAAGATTAGTTGACCTGTAACGGAGTCGAACTAGCACTATACTCGTTTTGGCGAACATCACTAGTGGGCATATCTCAATAACGATTTCTGAAACAGAATTTCATTACATAAATGAAAATGAGTGGCACTTTCAATGACGATTCTTGAGAAGCAGCTCTAAACAACAAAGCGAGATCCTTTTGATTGGGACTTTGCAAAATGTTACTGACTCCCACCATAGGGATCGAGTAGCGCAATGATTGTGACGCCGATCATCACGAGCACGATGCTGGTTCGACGTCGCTCCGTGCCCACAAGGATTCAACGACATTCACAAAAACGACGAGTGTCTTCAAACAGCAATCGAATTCGTATAAAAGAATTTCGAAGGCCTTTGTGAATGACAGCTGTTAAGAAAGGAATGGAATGCGAAAAGTGGTGAAATTGACACAATATGTGATGTCGGACCATTTAAAGAAAACTTATTCCTTTGCATACATGGTCAACATCATGCATACAACATCACATATTTTGAGGATCCATCTTCTTCAGTCGATTCATTTTTTTCCGATCGTACCTGGTACAGGTTTTCTATCCAATTATAGTTCAGCTACAATTGTGCCCTTTGTCAACTGCCCAAATGCTGTTAAACGCTAACCCAGTAGATTCACCCTGGAATCCTGCCATAGCCGTGTTGAGGTGTCCATAAATCTTCACTGCAGGCCAGCTTTTATGAATCGAAGGACGTACTTCTCAAGCAAGTCTGGTATCGAATTGCAGACCTGCAGGCAGCAGGGACCTTGTTCGATTTCGGACCGGCAACATTGTGCTTGTTTGCAAAACTCTGGACAGCAGGTGTCTATGGTGGGGAACGAACGCGTTATTGTCTTTTCCGAGGAGTAACGCGTTCACCACCACATCATGCGGGTCCTTCGTTTCCCCTGTCTCTCAGACCCGGCATGGTGTGGCGATGAACGAGTTACTCCCCGGAAAGGACAATAACGCGTTCGTTCTCCACCATAGACACCTGCGGTCCAGAGTTTTGCAAATATCTCAGCAACGTTGTGGTTGTATTTCGCTTAGTACCCTGCCGTGAAAATTGTAGTAGGCAGAAAATCAAAGGTAAAACATTGCGTTTATTATTAATCTTCTTATAACGTTACACTCACTTACATTTTATCACTGCTCTTT